AGCGCTCTATGAGGTACATGCACCGGTTCGACCTATTAAGCTGAGACAGTTACCATCACGTACCGTGTAAGTGAAAGTGACCTTAGGCGTACGTGAGGCTGTCATCGTCCTTATTCTGAAGTTCACACACACTTAGTCAGATCTATATGCCCATAATAGGTCCGATTAGGCTCGCATACCTGTAATCGAACTGCGAGCCCTCTGACCAAACAGAAGTAAAACCTTTACGCAGATTTAAAATTAGAATTTCTCGCTCAATAATATTAACCAAGAAATATCATGCAAGATACTAGTTTACATGTGATATTTTAAACACTTAAGTGCAATATCTAACATTTCATTATAGAAGTTATTCAGAACCACTTACAGAACTTAAAACCTCTTTCCATTTTTTTTTTGGACTAATCCCACCCACACGCCCACCACTGTAACTCCTGTACACCAGGATCCACAGCAGTGACCCACGAACACACCGAGTTATGACACTCGGGAAGTCCCAGGAAGAAATTAAACTGTCTTGGAACCCGCAACGAAATTAATCAGAAGAAAATTGGAGGAGTTGGAAATACAGTAAATCCACTTCCCTCCTTAGCAAAGCGGGAGACAAAATGAAGTGAAATAGGCATACACCCTTTTAAACAGGGAAGCACCACGGCCACAAAATATTACGGGTCCTACATGAGCTATATTTGATTTCTATAATATGTATGGCAGAATCGCCTAAACGCACGGAAATTCACCCTAGTTGACACAAGAGCCCCATAGTATATCGCCCCAGATGTCACCTGCAAGCTATTCAGCATTATATTACGTTCATTATACCAAAGACTACATTCCCAGAGGATATGATGAGCAGACTGTTCATAATGAGAGTTAGGTGTTGAGCATTGACACAATGGTGACTCGACTAATTTAAATGAATACAACTTGCTCTTAAAGTTACCATGACCCGTAAGAAATTGAGCGACACAGTGATCCACCTCAAGCCATGTCCTCGACAACCGTTCGCGAACAGATGGAAAAAATTGGTAAAGATGGCGCCCCTTGGATGATTCGTCCCAGCGTTGCTGCCATTCGTCTATGAGGTCATTATAGACATCGGACTGCTGTTGAAGCAATCTTGTAATTTTACCGCGATCCCGCGCGCCCAAGAAATCGCATTCCATGTTTTGTCTTGAATAGTACATGGCTGCACGTCTCTGCACCTCGAGATCGACCGGAAGGACACCTGCCAACACCGGCAAAGCCTCAGTGCTAACCGTCCTATATGCCTTGCACAAAAATATCAGTGCAAGTCGTTGGCCTTGTAACAGTTTGCGACGGACAGCGCCTACGGTCGCCCTATCGGCCCACACAGGTGCACCATAGCACATAGAACCTAAATAAGTAGCTCCGTATATGATCTTTAATGTATTAAATGATAGACCCCATGTCGCAGTTGATACCCTTGTCAATGCACAGAAACTCTTTTTAGACTTTTCATTAACTATTTTAATATGTTCGATAAATGAAAAGTTTCTTTCTAAAACTAATCCTAGATAACACACTGTGGTTTTATTTTTTACAGTGACATTGTCAAATCTAATGCTCGGCGGTGATTTGAGGTTACCTTTTAAAAGTAACTGGAAGGTTTTGTTGGGTGCAAAAGTTAAGCGATTACGTTCACCCCATTGAGATATCAAGTTCAAACATCTATTGGCTAATCTCTCAAGCCCCGCCCTAGTATCAGATTCCACCAGTAATAAGCCGTCATCAGCATACGCGTTCAGAGTACATCCGGATGGTATTGGTATCGTAAGAAAATCGTCGAAGCCGATATTCCACAAGTATGGACCTAGCACCGATCCCTGAGGACATCCCATTGTAAGCGCCTTCGACACAGAATGATGACCAAGTCTTAGTTTAGTTGTACCTTGTGAAAAGTACGAAGAGATAAGGGAATAAATATTTTTAAAACACCCCCGTGATTTTAATTTCAGCAACAGCATGGGCCACCATGCGTTGTCGAAGGCGCCAGATATATCTAAGAAAATAGCCAGCACGTATTGAAATTTTGACTCTGTGACAAACTTTCTAACCGATATAACAGCGTCAGTTGTCGATTTACCCAACGTAAATCCAAATTGTCTATCATGAAATTTGACTCCACCTGGCAGAAGCCGGGGCACTACAAGACGTTCTAAAAGCTTTCCTAACGATGGTAACAATGTGATTGGTCGGTAGGATTTAGGATCATCCGGTGGCTTGTCGCCACTTTTTGGTATTATACGAATATTACCGCACCGCCATATACGAGGAAATATTCCTTCAGCAATGCAACGTTTAAAGACAGTGAAAATCGTGTCACCCGAAAGTTTACAAGCTTCTTTTATCATTTTGTTAGATATTTTATCATCACCCGAAGCCTTGTTTAGCGGCAAGGATCTAATGATACCGAGAAATTCGTCTGAAGATGGTAAATCAGACATTGGAGACAGTGGTGGTTCGATGGCCCACTGCCTGATCTGTCGGTGATGATCTGTGTCGTTTTCCGGTCGATCGTCAGGTACGAGTGAGTCTAAAAGATATTCTGCTGTTTGTTCTACTCCTGTGGTATATCTGTTATTAATTTTGATGTTCTGTATGTATGCGTGGTCGATTGATCTATTTGCCTTAAATTCGTGATACAAAGGTGACCACGGGCCCTCTCTATCGAGTTTATTAACAAGTTTCTGAATTAAGTTTCCCTTGGATTTTTCCACAGCAGCTCTGTAGTGGGACCTGGCAACTCTAAGAGCAATGAGAGCAATGTTGTACAAATCTCCTGTTACGTTATGTTTTTTAATAGTGTTTAATTTTCTACGAGCTTTCCGGTAGCTTCTACGTAGTTCGGCTAATCTATCATTCCACCAATCACATCTACGAGTGTTAGTGATAGATCCGCGACCAATAGTTACATCAGCGCAGTATGTAAAAGTTTCTGATAGTATTTCTGCGCTTTCCTCAGCTGATAAACTACTGCGACTGAAGTCTTTGGTATGAGTTGCAAAGAGAGAACCAAACAAAGCCCAGTTCGCACCTTTAGTTTTATATCTAAAATTATAGGGAACCCTTTGTGGATCCTGTGCAACCCTTGGTGTGAATTCGTACACGATCAAGCGGTGATCACTACAGGATGCGTCCGGAAGGACACGCCATCCGGATATCGAGACGTCGCCGCGCGTAAGCGTCACGTCAATAGAAGACTCACCCATTGGGTTGCAAAAAGTTGGTGGTGCATCGGGGGTATTGTGAATAATAAGATTCATTTCCGCAATGAAATCTTCAACCGCACAACGTCGAACCGTGTCGGTTGAACGCAACTTGCCATACCATAATGAAGATGACGCATTGACATCAGCGCCAATGATAATTTTATGTCCCACGAGGAACTGCAAGACGTAACGTAAGTGATGTAAGTGAGGATCAATAGGATGTGAATATTGAAAATAGCAGCTCACTACGTAAACCTTACAGGTAGAGGATGAGATCTCAGCAACGGCGCAGTGTGACGTCATAAGATTACGCAAAGATGTTACCGTAAAATTAGAACTTGCAACATATATCCCAGCCTGCGAACGGCAGTCAAGCTGTACTACATTACGACGCAAGTGAGCGCTCTGATATTGTTCTTGTAAAAGGACAATGTCTAACTTTTGTTCTAAAATTAAACGGTCTAATTCTGATGTAGCTATTTTATCGTTATGAAGATTTAACTGGCCTATCGAAATATTATTCATTACTTAGTAAGTTACTCTTTAAACTTTTTTTTTTTTTTTTTTTTTTTTTTTTTTTTTTTTTTTTTAAACTAAGTTAAACTATTCAGTAATTGGTATTTAATATTAGCTGTTCCAGTTTTAATTTGTATGTGGCACAGTCGTATGAGCCGCATCGATGGTCAGATGGTTTTTTGAACCGCTTACACTGTGCGCACGTACCTCTTTCCATTTGTGTAATACCTTCATTTGACATAGGTTTTAATTAAACAAATTTACGTACCGGTCGTGTACCCCTACCCTGTATCCCCCTGTAGCACCCCGTAGCAGTCGTAGCAACAGCACGATAGTGATTTATGCACCCAGCGCCGGGATGGAGCCCGTGACGTATAGAGGAGATCCGACAAATGACACGTATGATTAGCAACTGAGAACTTAACGGGTACGGTTAGTGTGGACACGGGCTTACTTTATATTAGTCGTACTTTAGGCATAAAACCAGACATCATCAAAACCATGAATTAAATAAATTTGGAAAAAATGTCACCTACAGTTTGTATTTGGAAGAGGGGGCAAATGAGCAGACGGGTCACCTGATGGAAAGTGACCATGAACGCCTGCAACTCAGGAGTCACAAGCGCGTTGCCGGCCTTTTAGGACAGAGTACGCTCTCTTGAAGATTTGAATGATGGTGTCATGATGATAATTAACGAGGTCGAAATATGGTGAATCAAAAACTTACGTACAGAACTTAAAAGATTACCAGATTGCATGGCTGATTGATTGAAGTGGCCCTAATCTGCGTTGGCCTGTGTCCACTGCCAGTGCAAATGCTTGTTGAAATTTTAGACAATTCAGTGATATGTTATACCGGTTACGCATGAATTTTTCTGTACGTACATAATTACCTACATACGTTGAAACGCGAAAGTTTCAAAGTTATAATACCTTTTATGAAAATAATAAACTAATAATAAATGTTTATTATACTTCTTCTTCTTGTAATTTTGTGATTCCTACATTAAGTTTTGGTTTCTATTATATTGAAAATCTATTGTCAATCTATGGTTTAAAAATTATAACTTAAATTACCAAACCAAAGAGGTTCATTGTCATCACTCATCAATGACTAAATTAAAAATTTATATTCTTTCACTATTACACTTATGAAAGCTGACGTTTTATAACAATTTATTTTGTAATTATTTTAAAAACAAAATGTTATTTAACATGTTCACTGTACTTTTATTACTATTCTGCAAAACGATGGCTGGCTATGATCCTAGACTATCACTTAACGTCGGTTCAGTGTTGTTCTATACGAGTGATGTAAAGAAGCCTCATTGGACCAAGACGCAGCTAAGTCTCTTGCGAGCCAGAAAATATTTCCAATCAATTCTTCCACCGCCTGACTTTATAGATACCTTCAGCGATGATTACGTCAATATTTTACTAGAATATGTCAGAGACGCCTATTCTAACATCAAAAGGGAAGCAACGGATCTTGAAACCGATAGCATAATGACAGCCGCGTTATCAGACACATTGGGCGGATACTTCAAAGCTTGGGTACTACCTGTAGCCAAACTCGACTACTATGGAGGCACCATCAGTCAAGACAACGTTATCAAATTATTTCAGTTTTACAGTGAAATCAAATCTTATTTAGATACAGACGGAGAAGGATGGTACGTACCTGATGATAGCTTTATTAATTCTATTCCAATAAACGTTGCTATGAGACCCCATGAGCAAATGATTGATCCATGTGGACAGTTTGCGTACTTTGAGAAGACGCAAGATGGGGTAGGCATTTTGCTACCAACTGTTAACTGGAATGAAAAGTCAAGTACTCTATTTGTGCCTCTTAAGAATGTAAGTCTGATACCTATGATTGCACGAGATACATCAAACAGTCTTGTCAAGTATTATGACACAGCGAAAAATTGCCTCGCTGAATATAATCCTGCCGATATCGAAAAGTTTGATACAAGATTTCAATCTTGGCTAATAAAGAATATAATACCACATTTAAAAGATGAACATCTGTATCTTGCTTTGGGTAATGTCCTAAGTTTATTAAATATGACAAATAAACACTATGATAACATTTCACTTATAGATAGATCTGCCAAACACCCTTTCTTGATCGAACCAACAACAAAGAAAGAGGTACCGTCAAAGAAAGTAACAATTATATTAATAATATTGTTCCTTGAAATAATGTGGTGTATTCCAGCAGTGATTTACTTATTATGTTCAAAGAAGAAAAAAGATTGCACCAGCAATGTGTATTTATTTATAGATCATAACAAACCAGATAAACCTGACAAGGAATGTCCTCTGCAGGACAATAAACAAAACAATACCAAATTTTGCAGAAAAAATACCACTATAAATCCAATAAAGATCAATCCGGACTGTAAATCTATAGATTCAGAAGACTTAGAAACCCAATTCCCGTCAACGGTAGTCTGCCGAACTAGTACTATTACTAGCGCACTACAACTAGGTAGGAAGAAAGAGGCATATTACATGGAATTCCAAGGACAATATCCTTCTTCTCATTTAACAAGAGTTACGGGAACAGGATCGCGAGCTTATTATAGCTACAAAAATCAGTCATCCGAGGCTATAGGAACTCCTCCCAATCCACATGATAACAAAATATCAGCATCAAAGAAAAGGTCAGATTCTCCTAGGACTGTAGAAGCAAATCACGTAAAAGCTTTACCAAGTCAAAGCGGATTTGCACACTCCGAAATGAACGTAAACAGCTTACCTAAAAAGATCTATGTTAGTAAAGACAGCAAAGTTTTAATAACACCTAATAACAATAAAAGTTCTAAAAATGTTTCCCGGAGGAAAACGAACCATAGCAGAGATCAAAAAACAGTGGCACAGAACAAAGTAGAGAACCAATATTATGAAAATGTCGTAGAGAAAAAAAAGGTTAAACCAGTGAAAATACCGTCTGCAATATTAAAGACATCAGACCCCAAATGTGTAAAAAAATCTGCAGCTTCTTTGATAACAACCAAAGAATCTGCAACTGTCCATATAGAAAAAGAACAATCCAATGTTTTTTATTTTGCAGACACTGCAATTTGTCCTTGTACTGGATGTGAACACGTTGTAAGTGCCGTTCAGGAAGAGATATCTGAAGAGGTTTCTGTGAAAAAACAATTGCTCACCGACAACATAGTGCAACCTATCGTATCGTCAAATACAGAGTACAATATTGATAACAAACTAATTGAAATCAAATCACCTCGTCCAGTCAAAGAATATCTTATGTCAACTAGGTCTAAAAAAAGTAACATTGAGATAAGCGATAATGTAACAAACTATTTTGAGATGTCTATTGAAGAGCCTATGACAGAAATAAGTCTGAATATAGGGCCAGTACAAATTACTAAAGAATATAAGCGAAGTAAGATCCCAAAACTGACAAATAGTTCGAAATTAGTTATATCGAGAATATCTGAACGTATACAAGAAGCGTTGAGCCCCATTCCGGAGGTCAAACATAAAAGTTTAATACCACAACCCAAGAAAAAAACTCTTGATGATATGGCTTTGGTTTCGCCTAGTTGTGGAACAATTGCGTACAACCAACTTAATGAAACATTTTAAAATTTAAGGGTCTAATAATCCCTCATAGTTGTGTTTGAAATTAAAGGATTCCAATCGCGTTCGTATGCGTGTCGTACGTCGCCTCGATATAGTTGGTATTGACTGAACAGGCCTAAATATTGATATTGGAGATCGAGCAAATGTTTTAATAATGCAATTAGTATGTTAATTGCCAATTTTATATCTAGATAAGTCGTAAAATAAATTATTTTTGCGTTGCCACACCAATTGTGGACAGCAGCCCCCTTGATAATGACTTTTACAAATTTCTAAACAAACTTTACACTTAACGTCACTAAGAAGTCACTAAAACAACAGTCTCATTTTTTCAATCTATTTTTATTTAATCCGTGACGTCTCATACAACATATTATTTTCTCTAGTTCAAGAAATAATTGAACAAATAAGGAAGCGATATATGAGTGTTATTGAGTCGTTAGTTTTATTTTTAATAGCAATATAACTGTGTTATTTTAATATTATTTTGTAAGGTTAGGTTCTTACATAATGTAATTTATTTGATATTATTATTATTATATTTGTAGGTATATTTCTGGACTTTGATTTTCTTTAAAACATTACAAGTTACAAAGCTATATTCCTTTGCCTATCAACAGTAATTTAATGATAACAATAATACGTCATCGTGGCCAGAAAATATAACGATGCAAAGATTTCTTAAAATTGAGAGGGCCAAGAGAGATATAAGATTTTTCGGGGCATGGTGAAAAGGTTCACGTGTCATATACTTATAAGTTAACTTGACATATTAAAATAAAAAGAACATTAATTTACCAACAGTAAAATAGGTTACTAATAATCCGATTTCTTTTTTCAGCATAGGGGGCACAATATAAAGCATAATTCACATAATCCGTCTCCATACACCCTCGCTGTTCAGTAATCACTGTGACGAATTTATTGGCTGTGATCTGGCTGAATTAGGGGGGAACCTGAGTTATTGCATATTTCGGCCAGCTCAGGTGGCCGGGGACAACACTAATCTGTCATTACAAGTGCGGCCGGCCAGTTGTGCGCCACTTCGCCGATTGAGTACGGAGTTTTCAGTTTAATATTTTCTTGTTCTTTTTGTAAACCTGCCTTAAAAAAATAGACATGCGTTCTTATTAGCACTTAAATTACACATTACAAACATACATATATTATATACCTTATATAATATATGTATATATATATATTTTAGATACCATGGTAAGTACAAATTTTGCCTAATTATAAGCCAGCTAAGTCTGTTCATAGGGATTTTTTTTCTACGGTTTATAGCTATTGATATTTGATAAACCAATGGTTTGTAGTGCTTCAAGGGCTAATATATAAAATTTCTAAGGTACACTTGAGGCCCCGCTAATAGTTCAAATGAAGGAAAATTATGTGATTTAAGTCGTTTCGACTCACTCATACATTGGTCTAACAAAAAAAGTTTCGATAGCACTTTGTAATGTGTCCGAGAAAATTAGTACATATTACAACTAGACACAACCATTAGTGAAAGTAACTAATCCTTCCCAAATCGTACCGAAATCTGTTAGAACTAATCACTGAAGACCAATGGAGTCGGGTGACCGACCCCCAATAAATAGCGGGAACCTCCAAATTGGTACAATGTTGTAGGATTATCAACAATTGTGGGGATAATCCCCGATTGACAGGGATTATCGGCCAAATTGTACTTGTTCTTGTAAAATTTATGGTCACCCTGGAATTGGACAGTTGCGCGGGAAATAAAAATAACCTTATTTCATTTTTGGTCATCTTTGTTAAAACCCGCGGTTTTACTCGCATAGGAACCATGTATTTGATGTAAATAAGATTTCCTACCTATATAAGAAACACATTGATATTTTATAAACAAATGTTTTATAGTACTACAAGGGTTACATATATTTTAGACAATTTACAACCATTACCAAAAAAGTAAGTTTTCTTCTAATAATAAATCAGAAATAACTAAGTTAAAATAATAATTTATGTTTCCAAAATGTTATCTTTATTCTTAGTTACAAATTACTTCCGAAGTTGACAGTGCATCATTTCAAACATAGATACAATAATTGTGGGAGAGTTCGTAGCTGAGCTCGAGCTCTTTCGCTATTATTATTGTTGAGCTCGAAAGCTAGAAAGCTAGCGAGCTAGAAAGAAAGAAAGAAGAAAACTATAGCAGTAATACTATAGCAGTTGTACCACATATGACCAAACCTGGTGACTTGCTGGATTATTACAACAATAAATAAAAATAGACAAATAAATTTATTTAAATATTCAGAAAACCATACAAGGAGTATAATACTCCGTCAGGTGGATTTGTTCCCGACATTTTAATCCTGGGGACCGTCCACCGGCAACCATAAATCAGATCTGGAGCTTCGGTCGTGTTTCCGTGCGTTTGTTTATATATTATTTTATCAAATGTACTAAGCCGTTAAAAATGTAAAAAATCTTGTTCACCATTATGATCGTACTAATGGAATTTATATCTTAAATATAATTAAAAGATAGTTTATAAATCGTTGACTATAGAACCAGACTAATCATTGATTGTACTTTCAAAGAATACGAGCGTCAAACTTGTGACCCTTGAGTTTGTAGTCGAAAGCTCTGCGCATGTAAAAAACAAACATAGGTATTATATTATTTACAATATTATTATTGTGTAAATGTTTAAACGATTAATATATGTTTGTATTTAATTCATGTTTTCTCCATACCACGGTTGCCTCTGAGAGATAAGGCCGCCATTTATACTAACCTAGTTTTAGAAAATTATTGTATATTTATATCTGGTGTACAATAAAAGGATATATTATTATTATATCTAAAAGTTAAACATGGAATACAAATAAAAAGTGGTACGAAGTGTCTATCAGACTCTATTTTTATAAGTGAATACTCATAATAAACCACTTATAGCTTCAAAAACCCCTTAATAAAACAAAAAAGTATAATGAATTTATGAACTCTGCAAGTGCTTATCTTGGAGACAAAAAGAAAAATATCTTAATTTAACCCGTTGACAAGACACCATCGCTCCCCTCGCTCCTCCGTTGTGAAGCTATAATTTAGACAATCTCACCCCCTGTTCGCTGAAACCCGAGATTTTACACTGATACCCATTCGTAACCCCTTATCGCCCTGATGGAGTGCTGCGAGGAACGGCCAAGCATGGATAAGAAGAGCTTTTGTTTTAAGATGTGGCGATGACGAATTTGGTTTATTAACGATTATTATTTGTCGTAATATCCACTTTATTGAAAATAGAATAAAATTAGTTTTAGAGCATCAACGACTGGAGTTCAAGATCATGAAATATAAGAAAAATCAAACCAAGTCACACAATAGAGAGTATATTTCAAGTATTTAGCCACTTTACTTAAAACTATCTACAACCGTTAACTGAAGACCATACATACTCAAGCAGCACCAAATGAGTTCGACCGATGGCTAATGAAAGCTTTTTTCAGTTTTATACCCACATATACTAATTCAAGTTAAAAAATGGGACGGTTATAATTATGCAAAAGTTTCTTTGTGTTCTTGCAGACACTATTTTTTTAAATTAAATTAGTCCATTAATTAATGTTTTTTTTTAAACGTACAGTAGGTACTTTGTACAACCATACTATTATATAAGTAAAATATTCATTGTCCTTTCTCAGCAACGTATAAGACAACATATTTGTATCTAATTCCTTCTTCTATCCACGATAGAAAATGAACTATTGCTGGTCAATTATGACCCCTATGGCAGTCATGTGTTAAAGATAATTCTCCGGGTATCAAGAATAACATAGTTGATAATTCGTTCACAAATATTAAGTTTGTCTCAGACACCAAATATAGGAACTACCAAAATCTTACAACCACTCCGTAAACCACTCACACCGACGTCGACGCGGCCAAGCGTAGGTAAGCAAATAACTTGCCGTTTCTAATTGAGCCAGATAGGTGTCCCAGTAATTACTGCGATGTAACAAGGTCCCAAGGGATGCTAAGATATCGCCAAGATGATCCCCTCTCCTTGCCAGATGGCGAATGAAAAACGTACTTTGAGATAACAGGAAACCATAGTCACGTTTTGTTTCTGCTCTTCGGAGTAGGATTTATTTTTAGAATGAATTAAGGAAGCTTTTACAAATCTCGTTGTTGTAATTATTTAAAAGGAAAACTGGAACCTGCTAAAAAGTGCCTCAGCTACGAGTAAACCACGTAAAACTTTCATCAGCTCTTTCCAATTTTTTATCATTAGTCAGTTTTGAAGATTGTTACAATCCGTTCAGCATAGACAAATTTATTGCACAATATATTTGATAGGACAGTAAGTTAGCCTGCGATCCTGACTGCCAATCCATACGTTGTGAGTTCTTTTTTTACCCAGGATAAATATCGTATGAGGATCACGATCATCTGTTCTGTATCTGGCTGTAGTTTATAAATATTGAACCATATCAACAGTCTGGTTACCATAATACAGGCTTAACTCAGAAAGATGTATCAAGCTTATACTCGTAATATGTTAAAAAGTCGATTTAAAAACCTTGGTCTCACCTAGAATTAGTCCTTGTGGTTATTATACTTTTCATAAACGTTCTCTATTTCTTGACGTATAGGACTATAATATATCTGTAGTTGCGAGAAGAAATAGAAAACATATATATGAAGTTTTAACTTGAGAAATGATTGGTCTTCCATACAAATTTCCGTCAAATTTATTCTTTCCACATGATTTCATTTCACCCATGTAAGTTTTATTTTGGAGACAAGAAGTATTTCTATGTTTATAAAGAACATTTCAAATTAACAAATATACTTTAGAATAAGTACACTAGTAAAAAAAAGAAAATACAAGCAATCGGAAGCCTCCTTTTTTCAAGTTGATTAAAAAATCTATCTATTTTTGTGTTTTTCTCTTTCTGTTTAATTATTTTAATGACCTTATGTTTAGGATTGCATTTTATCTGATCTCACCAAAGTCTAATAACTTT